ATAATTGTCTTTTTTCGACACATTGATAGGCCATTATTTTTCTGCAAGTGAGGACGATTTCAGCTGCCATTTTCGGGGTATAGACGGTAGAAACATGCACTTCGTTTATGGTGGTTTAGTAACTTTGTTACAAAATCAACAAGTGCGAAAGTTTTGCATGAATGAACTCTACCAAAATAATCCCTGCAAGAGCTTAAAAATGCGACGCCCAAAATGTGGCGCCGATAGCACATTTTGAACACCATACTTTAGATAAATATTATTACAGCACATATTTTGCCTCCAATTACAACTTTTCATGAACATCCGAATTTTTACAAACAGTTTTTGTGAAGTATTTCATTTATTTCGTTTTTTGTTTTTGAAAATTTAAATTTGGTAGTTATATTTTGTGGGAAACTTAAGGGGCTGATTTTTGTCAATTTAGTTGGTAAGTTTTCATGGACAGACCGACCGACCGCCAATTGACATGTTCCAAGAGCTTAGAAATAGGTGGGAAATTAGCAGAAAGATTAATACAAGTCCCTGTAATGAAAACGTTTGTAACAACTGATTTGCCATTTGATCACGGTAAGAGCGCCTCAACCTTTCTTCGGGAAATAAATGTAACATTATGTAATGTATTATTTTGGAACATATTGATTTCAGGAAACCGATTCTCTTTCAAGGGAGTCGCTCGCACTTGCCACCGCCTTTGGGCAAACGGCGAGGCTCCGCCCCTCCAGTGCTTCTCTGACTCCGACGCCATTCCTTACCTTTCACCGCGATCGATGAATAATGAAGTAGATATCACAGTCAAGGGCGACCTCTGCTACTGCGCAGACGACGGCTGCAACGGCGTAGACTCCCTCAAGCCGTTCCTCTTTCTGATCCTCACCGTGGGCATGATGCACTTGCTGCTGATTTAAAAGAAGGTTGGCGTATAAGACCACCAGTGGTGGAACTACGCATGGCACCTACAGGTTTTAGCTTAAGATATATTAAAATCAGCGGTAGAGACCCATTGGTGAATAGTTAGACTGCGTTTATTCGGCTGCTACTTGGCAACCTTTTCACTCTTGTAAGTAACGCATGGACCTATATCATGTTTCACATCATTTAAGCATTTAAATCCGGTCAATTTAGGTGAAGACATGGAATAAATTGCAATAGAATCCATTCAAGCGTCAAACAACTTCAAATAAATACACAAACCACAGGTGAAAAACGAATACTTGTTTTAACAACTGTAGTACACAATATAGTTATTAACAGCCCTGCTTTGACCAACAATAGGATTTATAAAATTCTTATTTTTTTTAAGACGGACCGTCAAAGGACTTTGTCGAATGGCGTTAACTGAGGTTTTATCGCTGGTGATATTTGAAGACAATTATAATGACAATTCTTGAAATCGCATTTTTGGACAAAACAGATTTTAAGGTCAATTCGTTTATTTTTTTTTAATGTGAAATATATTTCTCTTGGTTTGGGTTCCCCCCCCCCCTCACACTGACGGTTGGTAAGAGGGTAATACGAGGTCATTTTAATGTCCCATCATTCAAACATTAATGTACATTTTTTTAGGAACTTTGGCATGTCAGTTCAAACACTAAAGATATGACTCTTTCGCTTTCTTTTTTCCGGGGGGGGATGTTGTATCCCAGCATTATTAGCTAATATTTAGGTACCAGTTTATACACACATTACACGCACATTTGTATTTATCCGATATACCGTATTTAATTACGTTAGAGTGAATCGAAATGGATCAATCTGTTATACTGGTGATAGCTAAGGCTGGGTCAGTTTATTAAAATGAATATCATGCTGATTATTTGTTCTAAGCTGACTGCACTTATCACTCAGAACTCGACGGATTCCGTAATTTGTATTTTCCAAGGGACAATTAAGAAATGATGAAAATTGGGCAAGGTGGGCATCGCTAAGTAAGTGAAGCTCAATGTCAAGTCTCTGCATGCCGTTAGCAAAAAAAATGCTGCTTACTGAAGCAGAAAATTCCCACTTATGGTAAGTGTATTTCACGGGTTAGCAATGAATGTTGGCTTCTGCGCAGCTAGCTTGAGGATGTGCTTACAGGGTAAGCGCAGAACTTTTCTGCTAGCACTTTTAACACAAAAGGGTTATCGTAAGCACAGAATTCTAAGTTGAGAACATTTTTGAGATAAGTAAAGGACCCTCTTTTCATTTCTAAAAGTTTCAATGTTGCCCAGTTTGTGGGTCTGAATATGACATGTCCAATCCAGCTAACGTTCCTTTTAAAATGGTACATGTATTCGATAGAGCACACAAACGAACTTTGAGATCGAAAACAGCCTGTCTCAGTTAAAAACACACAAAGATATAAGTCTTGAGTTAATTACTCACGAACCGTAACAAATCAAGTGCTCAAAAAATGATGACCAAAAAAAATATTCGTAATATATAAGCATTCAATCAGTTTCTGACCCTTTCACCACAAAGGGCAAAATTCAAACTATAAACACAAATTTGCATATTTCGAGTTAGGCTGTTTTGTCATCTAAGGGCCGAGTTACTCGCTGAACTTTTTTATGGTATGACTGGATGTTACTCACCTACTTCTTTTACGTGCAAAATGACATCTTGTTATTCCTAAGTCTATCAGACCTAAAGTGTTCCTATTTCTCAGTCTCGTCAAATCGGCAAATAATGCAACCCATTTTGAATTATGAACTGCACAAGTGCATGGACGAAGAGCTACCATACGAATCACTATACAATAGAAAGCAGTTTTTTTATGATCAGAGGATATTCACATGCACGTACCGTCACTGCAGCCCGGCTGAACTTATTGCCTTTGTAAAAACTGTATGCGCATTTCTGCTACTTAATCGAGCGCATGATGCACAACACCTTCTATTCAAAATTAAGTATATTTTCTGAAACCTTGACCTAGCTAGATATATAATAGGAGTACAAGGACGAACGGTCGAGGTCGTGCATTTTCCCCGCGTGACTATTTTCTCCACAGTGCCAGACAAAAAGGGAGTTAATTGTAAGTACAAACATATCCACTGAGCTGAAACTTCAACAGGTGGTTTTTGTTGTTCTTGTCTGGATTTTCACTGGTGTTTTCGTTGGAAACAAACAAAAATGCATGGAAAGTAAAAGACCATAATATATGTTTTTTAAATTTTATTATTTACTTACAATTATTTACTTATCATTTCACGTTCCTTTGTTAATTTGTTCTTTGAAAAGTGCACTTTTCCCGGACAACTAAGTTCGCTGCTGACACTGTTAATTTTTGGAATTAAAAAGTGTGCTTTTTGCAAAAAAAAAGGTCTGAAAAAAATAGTTCTCATTGGTTTACTGCCGTGCACACACCACAATTTATCACTACAAAAAAGATCATCTAGGCCAGCATATTTAAAAAAAAAATCGAGAATCTTTTAACCTTACAAGTGTAACATTGAGGTTTCTGCCTTGAAATGACATCACACTTTTGCTCATGAATATGGATTTTTTTATTAGCATAGAAACTAAATTTTTGAAGACGGTATCTTCATGCCACATTCCAATCAAAAATCATGTCGACGTGTTCAGTGTTTTTCATTAAAAAGTGAAAGTATTTCCATTTTTCAAAGCTGTAACAAATGGTGGTTGCATTATCTGTCAATCTTGTCAAGCCTCATGAATATTGAAAAGGTTCCTTTCCATATATGGTGTGCAGTAAATGCTGAAACAAATGTTATAATTGCTATTGCCTGGTTCTCACTTGACCGATATGTTCAGTCTTTTCGGTGAGCACGTCAGTGACATTGGGTTCTGGTCGAGGCATCCAGCTAAAACTGGTGTAGCACTGAATGGAATTATGTACACTTCGAACATGAACAATGCTTTCTCACTTTTAAGTATATAGTACAGTATTTGTATTTGTAGAGAATTTAAAAAAAAAAATTAACAAGTGTACATTTTATATTACATCTAGTTGTCAATTTCTTATAGACATAATATACTCCAACAATTTCCGAGTTCTGTGCACATAAAGTTGTAGGACATCGAGTAAAACGATACTTTTAAAGGCAATAAAAATAATAATATTTATTTTCAACTTGAAATTGACACTGAATTGTACATTTGCAAATGTACAAGATTATTAACAAAACCAATTTAGCAGTCAAGTTATATACCGTGTCCTGGTATATTCTAAAATACATTCAGTCGATGAACGTAGAATTAGGTATTGTTATACCTTACCACATTTAGTTCATAACACGAATGACAAAAAAATACCATTTACAAATGATTTCAAGATATGTTGTATACGTCCCATGTCAAATGCAGCCACTCAAATACCGATTAAAAAGAATAACCACCAAGGAAAGTAAGCATCTCGAAGTTAATATAAATTAATAGTGCTCTTCTAACAGTCCAGCGGATATGTGACAAAATATCGATGAATTGTACACTTTTGTGAAACTTCGCACAGATGATTATATTCATGCGAGAAAATGTTTCAGATGTAAAGCCATCGCAAATCCATCTTTTTAGGGGCGTGCCAGCCATTTAAAAAGGGGGAGGCTCGTAATACCTGCAGTGAAAACGGTTGTTTCCACTTGTCACAAAAGAAGGAAACTTCACAAAGACATAATTATATAGATTATAAGTGTTTTCCAGAAGTGGAGCAACCACAAAAAGCACCTTTTGGGGGGCAATCCATAATGAGCTTCTCCCTTCCTAAAAACTGTTTTCTGAAACTTAATTTTTACCTAATACACTCTGCAATTTATCTGGACCTGCAACTTTACAGATGTCGACTGTAATGTCCATAATAGCGTAGAGATCAGAACTAGCGCAAGAACCAGCTTTGGAGTGGGTTGTCAATAGCTCTAGAAGTTCAACTACTCCAGACCTGAAAAAGACAGTTAAAATATGGTAAACGACAAATTATCGCTCGAACTTGCCCTAGGGCATTTCACACTGCACCGGCCATCTTTTACACCGCCGTGACGCGTGAAGTGAAGGTAAGCGATCACTCAGCCTGACTCGATGCTGCCTGTGGGCGAACAGGTGAGCGAGTGAGTGGTGCTCTTCGAACCTTGGCCAGGTTTCAGGTACACGTAATCGTCTGTGTTAAGATTTCCCATCTCGAGATAGCCCTGTTGATGAGTGAAAAAAAGTATTAAACAAAAGAAAAACAAACCACAGTTAAAGGCAGTTTCGGCTCAGTGGATATTACACTTTTCAAAAGAGCGAAAATTCGTGTGTTTTTTTTATCAGGAAACAAGATTTAGTCCATTCCATTTAAATAACAGTCAAAAACAAAATACCATTCCGCTCCCGAAGGATTGCCCAAAAAGGAACATTGTTTGTGTCATTGTTTAGTACCACAAAGATCTTTGATCCAAGTAAGGTTTTGGATAATAAATCGGTAGGTTATTTTGAAGATAAACGCAAATTATCCTTCATGTATTATGCCTTTAATGTTGCTTTGTGCAACTTAATCAGTAACTTTATAGTAATTAAGTTGATTTGCTTCCAATTTGAGCGTGAATAACGACCAGTTCACGTATAGTCACATATGCCTTTCCAATTGTTTTTGTGTTTTTCGGACTGCATATAAACAACAAAGTAAGCCAAAATTTTGATAAATCACTGCAGTGTGTCAATCATGAAGATGGAAAGTGGCAACATGATCGGTAGAAATAACTGGAATGACTTTCCTGAGTGAGATCAGGGTTGTACACAGCGACAGAATGGTTATGGCAGAAAATATGAGAAATAAAATGACAACTGATCAGTACACCTGCTTGGAAACTGAATACCAACCGCTGCGTCTGCAAGGATGTCGTCTATGGTGGTGTGAAGACCAGCGAAATCCGGCCTGTCTTCAGGTTTCTCCTGCCAGCAGTCCTTCATTATCTGGTATCTGCAATAGAAATGGGGTAAATGTCAAATGTATGTCGTTGTATACATGTATATAGACATGGAAATTGATCCCTGATTATAACGATATACTAGCAGAAACGGAAGACGGAAACACTGTTGGGGAAAGATTAATTGTTGGTTCTGACGAGAAAAAAAAAACTAAGGTGAAATCTCGATTTTGTTTTGGGTCGATATACTGACTGTCATCTAATGGTTGGTCCTGTTTCTGATGATAATTGGAGCATACAGACCTAAACATACCAACCAACCTTCAATCTTCTAAGAATTATCATTTTATTACAAACATTTTCAACGCAATTGTTCTCCTCAAGTTTCTTCCTGTTTGTGCACTGGCCTGCAAATGCCACATAATCGCATGTAATCAGATACAATAATATGCTACATACGATTAATACCAACCCCATGCTGGCGATAATGATAATATAACAGGCATTTACAAAGCGCGTTTGCCAATGAAAGGATTCAAAACGCTATAAACAAATCAACATAATTGGAAACAAATTAAATCAATACAAATAGGTTTTTTACGAGTCCCTTAAACTGTTCAAGAGATGATGCATTCCGGATGGTGATGGGGAGAGAGTTCCATGTGTGTTGCCCAGCAACGAAGGAGGCACGTACGGTTCCCTGTATTCTTGGTGGTGCGAGGGATGAGCAACTTGGCTTCCGAGTGGATACCATGTCGTTTAGGTTTGCTGAAGTCCACAACATCGGAAATGTATGATGGGAACTTGTTGGACACTTTTTGTAAATGTTCAGTGTTGTCTTGTACACGATCCGTACGTTGGTTGATTGGAGTGGTCAGAAGCAATATCTGGCGCAAAGTGTCTTGCTCCAAGTATGTTTAATGGAAACAACCAATCGCAACCAATCGCAGATAATTAAGGAGTTACTGACCCAGATCGACCCCATTAGACTTACATGTCGTCGCTACAGTGCTCTGGCTTGGGTAGACGGTAGCCATGCTTTATTTCATCGATGACCTTCTGCGATGACATGCCGGGGTATGGATGCGATCCTAATGAAAAGGTGATACAGAACGTGAGTACACAGTCAGGTAATAGTTATTGAGGGCGCTGTATAACGACCCCATATTGGGGCAACTTGGGGTGAACCACGTGTGAATTTAAGTGACGTCAGTTTACATTTTGCTACAATTCAAAGTTACCTTTTCAAAACCTTACATTTGCAAAATGGCATTGAGTTACTATCTGAAAATTTGCTACAGTCAACGTGACATCAGGCCTATATTGTTTATACCATCAAAATCGAGTCATTGATTGAGGACGCCCTCATTTGGCCAAAAATTGTTGGGTGCAGTGTAGTGTGAAATTGAGCCTTCATGAAATACGGACTCATACGTTGTATTGCGCATGCGTAAGTGAACATAATAATGACAGTGACAGGTCACATGTGAGTGTTTGAGTTCATATAAGGTAAAAGAAACCAGATATTATAGCAGTCCTAATTTCATATGACAGCAGTATCAAAGCAAGAGAAAGGAGCCATTCCAAACACACTTTAAAAAATAGACAGATATTCCAACTCACCTAACGTGACGAGTTCCCACAGAAGAACACCAAATGACCATACGTCACTCTTGCTCGTGTATATATTACTAAGCAGTGACTCAGGTGCCATCCAACGAACTGGTACCTTGCCCTGTCCAGATTGATTTAAAACAAATAATTCAATACGTATCTAGAATTACCAGAATAACTTTTTGATGCATTATTATCTACTAAAAAAGTGTCGCCATCCAAGAGAAGTAGAGAACTTTCGAATCGTTGATTTCCTGCTTAATTAATCAAATCTGTCAATTCATGAATTTCAAAAAACTGCGTAATACATGTATGTTATTTCTGTCAAACACCCAAGAAATTGTCAGCCAACCAACTTGTGTCCAATACCGTATGCAGTCCTAGTTTGTAACTGTAGCTTTAACGGCATACCAGCTGAAGGAACAATAGGTTTTTAACTGATGTTCCCCTCTCGAGGGCTTATTCAATAAATATTCATCATCATCATCATTCGGCCGAGGAGCAGGCGACCACTGTGCAATCTTCCTCCGCACACGTCGATCCTGTGACAGGCCAACCTCGTCCCCAGGGTGTTGAGCAGAACGGCGCCCAGCACTACCCTGGTATTGGATCCTTTGCATGTGCAAGATTTTTGAACACGTATGCAAACGAGGAATAGTCTGGTGCCAGCATGTGCGTTACATTTGTGTTTGTTTTTGTATGCAGTGTCTGGGGTGAAAATAGAATCAATTCGTCGCAGCGGGAGCATGGCGTGAGTTACGAAAACACGATTTTATTTTAATTAAACTGTTACGAACATAACGAGGCAACATGCAGTATCACATTTCATAATACTATTAACAAATTGGAAAGGAAATAAATATTTTCGACAAGACGTGGACGAATGATCGCGAATAACAACACTTAGTACACGATATCAATCCATTTCTAGCTGATTGCGGTATCGAATCAAGATACAGGAAGAAAGTTTCCTTTCCAGGGATTACTATTGAAAACAATGTTGGAATTAAAGTAAGCACTGGGAACGACGTTGGTGATAGGCTGGCTAGATCCTCTGCCACAGGCGTCATAGGTGACTAATACTCCACTAAAACTTTCGGAATCTACGTTGGCGGCTTGCAATTTGTTTCGTAGGTGGGGTGCTTAATTGTCATGCATAATTCAGTTTCTTTTGAATTGTTGCAAGACACGGAGGATTGTGTTCTCTTTTTTCCCTTAAAAAAACTAACTCAATCAGAGAAGAAAAATAGTCGATGAAAATGAGCCGCAACAACGTGGATTCGAACCAAGGATCTTTGTATCCATTGCTCATCACAATACCCACTAGGTTTCTGTGGTAGCTCGACGACGTCCGCACTTTAAAATGGTTGACTAAATAACAACAATACTTTTGATATCATTGCTCTGTTTTATGAATAATCATACTGGCCCGATCAAAAGTATTGAATTATTCATGACTTTGGAGCAACCCGCCCTGCTTTTTTTCTTGATGTATCATTAAAGGCTGCACGGCGCTAATCTGATTCCTGGCAGGATTCAATCACTTGAGGGCGGCCTTTAAAGTGCATGCACTAATATGACATTAGATGTACCTGTGATTTCATTTCGTATTGGCTTTTCTCGGCCACTTCTCGAGCCAGTCCAAAGTCGGACACCTTGCATACCAGTCCCTGGCCAAGGAGGATGTTACGGGTCGCCAAGTCCCTGTGGATGCACTGTGAGAATACAAGAGAATAAAATACATCGGACTACGGACTCAAGAAAATGTGTGGGAAAGAATTAATGTGGAGCCTGCGTGATATGGCAAAATAATGACAAACTTTTAAAATCAGTACTTAATGCTACAGAGGCATTGTTACAAGTTTGGTTTGTAGAGCGATCAGAATGAGAGTGAATCTGCGTTGAAGGGGACCCGTCCAAAGCAAAATCATGCTAAGGGATGACACAGAAATTGAAGGGAAAAAAAGAGTTTTAAGTGGTGAGAAATAATCAGTTGGGAACAAAATGTAAATAATTAACAAGGCGTTTCAGTTGATAACCGGCCTTTTGTGTATGGTAAGCAAACTGTTTGTTTATTTGTTTGTTTGTTTGTTTGTTTGTTTGTTTGTTTGTTTTTGGGGGTTGGGTTGTCTGTTAAGGTTTAGATGTTTGTTGTGTGTGTGTGTTTTTTTTCCTTGTTTTTGCTTGGCTGATTAATTAATCCAGAATGACTAACTACACACAAAAGCTCCAGCTGGACGCACAAATACTAATCCTGCATCATGGTAACGTTTAAAAGCAAGAGGCACAATGATAGTGACGCATTGTACACTGATTTATCCCCACAGACCATAAATTTACATGCGATCTCACCTGTTTCGATGCTAGGTACTCCATCCCCCTGACTACCTGAGATGCGAAAGTCAGGATCTCCGTCGGTGTCAGGTCCTTCTTCTCCTTGAACTCTTCCTTCTTCAGGTAGAAGGGTTCGGTGCCCGTCCGAATGTGTCGCAGGTAGGTCTGCAGGTCTCCATGGGGAACGTATTCCAGGATTATGTACATCGGGTCTAGTAGGGAAAGACATCAAAAATTAGTTAAAAGTACAAATCATCTCTTCGGCATGCCACCTGAGGGCGCTACGTCGTTGGTGAATTCGCAGGAATAGACGAAGAGTTGTCAAAACCGCTCTCACTCACAGCTTAATTCAGATAGTATGCACAAAATAAGACGCCTAGCATGGCAGTCAATGCAAGTTCACTTTATCTTTGTGGGTATAATAAAGGGTGAGTCAAAAAATAAGGGAACCCAAACGGGTGTTCCAATTGTTTTTTGAAAGAATCAGTAACAAAGGTAAGTGATATTTCAGCAAAACAAAACTTTTCACATATCAAAAACACATCATAACCATGACAACTGGCACTTATCAAAACGTTTATTTCAGAAAACACCTGCTGCTTGCAATGTTAAAGCAACATGTCAAGAGTTTATAGTCTTGTCCTGCCTTCTACTTGGCTACCCCGGAGACTTATGGGATTATTATGATATCATTTTACGATACGACTGGTTTCATTTTTACTGAAATATCACGCATACCATAAATGAGATCCGTGGACAATGTTAAAAACGGTGTTTGTGTTCTAAATTCCATAACTGGAAAAGTACGTGAGCGATTTGAACGATTTATTTTCACAAAAAGAAAGCTTATTTGTGAGGCTTTCATGTTCTAGATCTGGAAAGCGCTAGATGCAGAACTTTTTTAGAAATAGGGGGCACCATTTTGCGTTTCCTTTTCTTTCGACTCACCCTAATGTACACTCACTCACTAGGTCGGCCACTTGAAAACATAATTGCAGTCAGGTTTATACCTGTATTGTTTTAATTTTCAAAACTTATCGAAACTTATTAAATTGGAGATGCAACTTTTTGGTACATTATTTGAATTGTACCTTTATCATTGCAGTATCCGAGCATAGACAGGACATTGGGATGTCGGTCCAACATGGAATACAGTCGCAACTCTTTCTTGAAATCACTCTGATCGTTGGGTGTAGCACATTCTAAACGGTAGAGGAACAAGTATTTTTTATCAGAAAGGTGAAGAAAAAAACCGCGGCTGTTTGAGGTGAAATTTTGTTAAAAGCTCCCCGAATGCACTCAATAAGTGCGGGTTTTCTTATTTTCATCGTTGAGGGTTATTGATAGGCCGTATCGAACAAGTTCGATCGATGAGTTCGATCAACGGCCATGGATTCGTTACGAACGTTGCGGCTGCGCGCTAGGGCGAATATGCGAACGATGATGTCATCATACTATTTCGCTCCCTCTCGCCTTAAGTAGGTTGGTTCTAAATTCGCTGGCGTTGTCATGACGTCACCCAGAGGTCAACTGGGTGCAACCATGGTTACTGGTTCACGCACATTGAAACGACCCAGTGGACACGGTCCATTGTGGTTTCGCTGTGGCTGTTGTGAATCCATTTCTTTGTCATAAAGGTTTTGAGGCAAAATAAGCACAACTGTGGGTGTGACTGGTTTGGTGATAATCTACTGAAAGGCAGTGAATCATTTTCGGGGAGAGTATCTGCGAATTTGTGAAACTGTTCTATGAAAGTAGTCAGTAAAAATGCAGTCTGTGATTGCCACATATGTTAAACGTACGTGAACATTGTCGTTGTGTAGTGCACGTGAACCGAGCCTGACTTGGCGGGGGGGGGGGGACGTCACACTTTCTCAGCGTAAAGTGGACCAACGTTCCGGATTTTGCAATATACCCCCCCCCCCCCGCTCCGCCCACGTATACTCTTCACAGTGCTTGTGACTGAAAGTTGACCGCGCAATATTACACAGTGGTCACCTGTTCTCTCATTGGTCAATGACTGACAGGCAGAGAAGGGTCCTCTAGTTGGAAACATTATCATAGTCCCTCCAATAACTACGCATCTGTGTAGTACTTTAGACCTATGAAAATGCCGTACCTTTCAACATCTTCACGGCCACCGTCGTATTGGTTCCCCTACGGATGATTCCCTCTGCCTCGGCTTTGAAGACCACAGCAAACGAGCCGCTGCCTAACTGGCCGAGAATGTGCAGTTTGTCCCGCGGGAACTCCTTGGCTGGTCCACTGAACTCCGATGTCGATGCTTGATGAGTGTCAATCCAATAAACATTCGACAATTTCTGCAAGACGGTAACAAAAATACGTCAAAATGAAAAGGTCATTGTGCTTTAAAACCGTTTTCGAGTTAACAACAAGGTCGGATCGCACTTTCTAGGGCGACATTTTTGACGACAGGACTAGTTCTTACGTTGCGAGTCCGCAAAGCGTCAAACCAATTTCAACTCTGGTATTTGCATTCTCAAAAAGTGGAAACTGGTTTTGACAAGGCATAATCAGGATGATTAAGAATGTGACATTTTTTGGCATATTTACAGAAGATAATGCTCGAAAAATATTTTTTTTTGAAGTTTTAGAAAAACTAAGCACCTTTTGAATGAGCTCCTGTCCACGCCCTCTATCAACAGCAGGCGGCCGGCCGCCTCTACGCCTGCGCCGTGACCTCTTGACGAAGCAAACCACGACAATGACCAGCACGACAATCAAGACGACGCCAACGACAATGACAACAACAATATTGATCGTCGTGGTGTTTGCATTAGCGTCTGCAGTATAAAAACAAAAACCATAATCGATTACAATTCACTTTCAATAAGTTCTAAATTTTGGGTTTTCATTTGACTGCTTTTATTAACTTGTCATGGTTGGATTACATTCTTAATAGTCCAAGGTCAAAGTTGATCAGATCCCAGAATTGTTTTTGACATGATACTTTAAAGACTTAAAACACTTCTGTCAAGATTTCCGGCTCAGAGTGACACGGACAATTGATCCAAATAAGTGTCATTTTGACCCGGAAAGTTGTCATTCTGACCCTATGAAGTACCATGTCAAATTGGATCTGGATTCCGAAAAATCTGTCCCGGAACTTGTGCGAATGTACAGCAGCTTTACTCCCCCCCCCCCCCCCCGGTGGATTCCAAACATACTTAATTGGCGTAAGCAAACATTTCTAACGTTTGCATTTGTATACAACAATGTTGAAGGAGGCCGAAGGGTATGTAAGCTACTCACTTTGACAGTTGTTGCCCGTTGCGCCATTTTGGCACGTACATTCATGCGTGTTGCCTTGCGGCATGCACTGTCCGCCATTCTGGCAGGGATTGGGCATGCAAGGGTCATCGGCTGAATAAAAAAAGTAAGACGTTTACGTCAAATGAAGCTTCTAAAACGTTATCATGTTAAACCAGGTGACTACAAAACGAAAGAAAACAATGTTCTTTTTTTTTTTTGAGAAGGCAAGAATTTTTTTTTTTTTAAAACACTAAATTGCAGACAACATACATTTACCAGACTAACGGGTTTTAATCCCCTTGCTTACATTAAAGAAGGTTACCCTACGGAAAAGTAAGGGCTAATAAGTCAGTCACCGGTAAAGTCATAACAAGCAAGGCATGCTAAATGAAGAAAGGACTGTGTGGTTTTTGTTTTACCGTTCATTAGAACAGTTTGTCACTTTACAACTAGAGGCTGAACGACTTGTGATTCACTTTTATTACGTTCATGTTCATTAAGTTGGTTATCGCTAAGATCGGAGTCAACATAAATTTCATTCATTGACCTAAATCTCACGATACATCAAACATGAAATCTATCACCCTGGAAGCAAGGAGATTTGGACCTTTCTACAATGAGTATGACGACTAATTATACAAGATTTTTGACATGCATGTTTTCATTCTCGGCAATATGAATAGTCAGTGGAAAGACCAGGGTTAGTAAGAACACATGTATGTACAGGGACCAGATTATTTTCATGGCTAAAACACGCTATGTGGCTAAAATACCTAATGCGCTTAAAATAGAGAATATAAAATTGTATAATAAGAGTACTCAACAAAGTACTTCAAACAGACATACAAATGCAAATGAGGTGGGTAATAATATGTAAAATTGGTTAAATATAGTGAGTAATTTATGTATATATATATATTTTAGCTATCGTTGTGTTTTATTTCTGTTCTAACAATATTAGTGTTTTTGAATCAACTAGCCTTTTGGTTGGAGGACATAAGCTTTCTAAGATTAAAACTGAGTCTTGCTATCAGAGACAACATGAACTGATTGGAGATTTCGTGAACTTAAAAAGACAGACCGATGGTGATTCGAATATAATAAGTACCCACTTAAAACACACCATTCTACGCAGGTGACCTTATATATCGTCATCGTGTCACATAGGGACGGATATGTGGATTTTGAAGAAAAATCTTTTTCGAGATAATTGAAAGTTTCTCCAACTTTAAAACTGCAAAAACTACTACTTTGCAACAACTTTATGCAATAACGAAACTGTCATATAATTCTTTTAACAGGTAAACTTTAATTGTGAAAACGTTAGAGTTAACACAGTGGTCAATTAGCCAGATTTAATTAGTAAAGATACCCGTCCCTTCGAGAAAACGAAAATCCAAGTGGTCCACATTTTCGTTCTTCTTGTTCAATGTGTTCTTAGATGAGAATGTGAAATCTCAGTTGACTTTACGCCTTTCCGTGCAATATGTTTTGTACGTGTTCAAGGGGCAGGCATTTTCGCGTCTATAGTAAAAACGCAAAATGCATTTATCGAGATGCCTGCCCCCGGCATCATTAATGTTATTTAATAAATAATGAAATTTTGATTTCAGAAACATGTCAGAATGCTTAAGTACCATGTTTTTAAAGCAACATAGTGAAACAAAAATCGAAATCGAAAAACAATTGGTCAATTTTTACATGCCCGTCCCTTCGTGAAAACGGTGAAGATATGAGGTCCAAGTCAAATATAATTGGTGCCTTGAACAATTTCAGGAAAGGTAACAAGTATATAAATCCCAGTTGCACATATTTGTCCCTAGTTCCATAGCAAAGTACTCTTTAGTTCTGAAAAGAATTTGTCCTCCTGACGATGACTAGAGCAGGCTAGTCGAAACGTTGAGACCAAAGACAAGTTCTTTTAGAACTTAAAGCAGGACTTTTCTTATCAGAAATAAAACTGCTTGTAGTAGATAACAAGCAGAAAAAGTTATTTTCAGAACTAAAAATATGTACTGGGCAGTAGTTATTACCACATGGTGTTACCGCAAATCAAGACGATACGAATACCACACCATGCAAAGCCTAAAATCTTATAACTATGTACTCACTTTGGCAATCCCCTCCACTAAACCCGGCGGGGCAGGAACAGTTATACAAATCGCCGGTGATCTCTCGAATACACGTGCCGCCATTTTGGCAGGGATTCGGGTTGATACAAACATAATCTATATATGTAAAATGAATAGAGATTTAATCACCACAGAGCTTAATAGCAAATCATTTGTGAAATAGCCAATGTGAACCCCCAAACTCCTCGGTCGCGTAATTTCTTATTACCCGGACGGTAGGGACCAAATCATGAATAATTCAGTAGTTTCGATCTGGCCAGAATGTTTATTCATGAGAACAGAACAATGATATCAAGAGCATTGTTGTTATAAAGTCAACCAGTTACATTAAAGCCTAGTAGCAGTAGTAGTTAGAGTAGCCTAGTGGATAGCGAGATGAACTATGGAAATAAAGATCCCTGGTTCGAATCCACGTCGTCGCTACTCATTTTTGTCGACTATTTTTCTTTTACAAATTGATCATTGAGATAATTTTAATTGGAGGAAAAACGAGAACTAGAACCTAAAGTGCCCTGCAAGGATTAAAAAAAAAAACAGAATTATGCATGACTTGGCCCTAGCCCTTCTAGGAAAAAATACGCTCCCCGGATCGGACAATATCAAAAGAGGGCGCTCTCTCTGTGTTATGCATATTCATGAAAGTCCAGGGAAATTAGAGAATCAACTATATAAGAAGGTATTCTAGTGTTTAAATCACCGACGATGGGCAGCTCATTCGTGGACTGGTTGGAAGAAGTCCTGACTTCTAATCAGTTGATCCGAGTTCGAATCTCAATGAGCGTTTTTCACTTCTTCTCATTTTACCTTTTACATAAGTAAAGTGATGCAGGATCATTTCTCACAAGACGTAAAGCCTATCTTGGGTTTGATTATGGAGAACAAGGCATTAGATATGCATGTAATGGACCAATCAGAAGATGGAAAGCGGATGTCGTTTGGGAAAAAAAGATTCGCTCCCCGGTCTCTATATACGTACGCCTATTGTGATCAACGAGCCTCTTCATACGTACATTCACAATGAAGTTCAACTGAACTACATATAGTATAGACTTACCTTTTATTTCAAAGACAAAACTGTGTGTATTAAAGTCTAGTTTTATTCTTTTCTGATTATGATAGGTCAATGTATTTTACTTATTACCTTCACATGTTGGTACCGAGTCACTCCACGTGACGTTGTTGTAGCCAGTCTCAATGCATTCAATGCTGGATGCTCCATGGAGGGTATATCCAGGGTCGCAGGAGAAATCTACACGAGTCCCGAAGAACGTGTAGTTGATGAGATTGTAAGACAGTGAACGCGGGTTGGTGATGGTGTGGTCTCCGTTGGTGGGGGGTCCTATGTCGTTACTACACACTCCTTGTGAAACTGCAATAAGACAACATAATACGTATCATGTAGACTTCTGATAAGGGGATCCATGTTGTTGATGAATCAATCACAATTCCGTTCGCAAGTAAACCGCAAGTTACTTTACAAGTTCGCCCAAAAGTAAAGCCCCAGTCACACATTTACGGTTTTGAAATTTGAATATCCATGGCTTACCAAAAATCAATCGATCAGTTCTAAGAATGCTCTACGGTTTCAGAACGGATAGCCGCGACTGATCTACGGTTTCTTCACGAATACACCACGGTTTTGTCAAGAATATGGACGGATTGGTGAAGAAAATCGACGGTATTACTGAGAATAATGACGCTAACGTCACGGTTGTCTGTTATTGGACCACGGATGACCAAGGTTCTCCTACGAATAAAGCTTAAACATTTGTAATACAACTTTAGCAGAACTCTAGCACATCCTGGCATATCCGTAGGACATTCGTAGCGAATTTGTAGAGATTTCTACCACGAATGAGCTACGAATCTCCAAGAATATGCACGAATAAAGGCACGAATAACACAACGAATAAGTACGGTTGTCCCACGGATGTCCCACGGTTGCACTACGGATTAATGTTCACGACGGTTTCCAACGGAAGTTATGAACAGTTTTAAACTCTGTAGCCCCTCCACGAATACCCACGGAGGATGACGGATAACCACGGATGCAATGAGGATGAATGTGTGACTGGGACTTAACATTGGATGAATGTTGACAAAGGAATGCCCTTGTCTCATTTTATTTCAATAGTTTGTGACATAACGAAGGACTGGATGATTTATGATGGATTAATGAGGACTTGTGATGTACTTGTGAATGAAAATCCACAGTACATTTAAATGAACTGTAAAATGTGTTCAGTTGGTTATTTTTTTCTAGTTTGTTTGCTTGATTAAAGTGGTTCATCTTCATCATCACTGCACTTTTCTTCAATATGCCAGTTAACTTTTGTCCAGTTACATGTGCTGCGTGTGTAAATACAATCTATACACATCTACAATGTCGCCCTCTATGGTAGTTTTGTAATTATAAGATCTTTCATTGTACATGTATACAAAAAAATCAATTACATCGCTATTTCTATTTTGAGGTTCATTGTTTAAAATTTTAGGTGGTTTTGGCCAAACAAATTTCTGGAGACATTGGAGGGAAAACATTTCGTGGAGAACATTTCGTGGCAGCCAGAGAACAAAACGTGGCGGCCATTTTGAAAAGCAAGATGGCTGTCATTCATTGGTTTTCTGATGAAAATTAAAACAGTAATTTTTTAAACCCTTGATATTTACAATTAGGGGTGTAAAGCCACCAAGATTGATTTCAAAATATGACATTCACAAGTTGAAAATGATCCTACAATGGCGTCCATTTTGAAATTCAAGATGGCCGCCATCTGCTACACTCAGTATTTTGCCAACATGGTTTTTCTTGTTCCCGGGGGTCTAATTAAGGTTTCTAGCTAGGTGGCATGTTCTCATCATTCGGTATCTACGGCACTTAATTTCATGCCATATCATATCCCTGTGATGCATAGAATTCCAAACGGCCCAGGAATAAGCTTTCGCTTCTCAAGCACTCGATTCGCTCCAGGCTGTGTGTGTGGCACCGGTACTGGTGAAACATTCACCACGTACATCGAGACACGTCAATGTTAGGTACGTGTAATATAAATATTCATATCCTCCTATAGCTAATCTAATCAGAATGCTCCTCCGTCCAATTTTTTGAGCACGCATATGGGACCGAGGATGCAGGAATCGTTGTAGACTGTTTCCCTGCCCCCCCCCCAATATATGGAGACTGGTAGCTAGCGCGCATTATGATTGTTTTTCAAATCACTGTGCATGGACGGTGATTCAACACACGCTTTTTGAAAAACTCACTCTTGTCTAACCACCTAAAGTACGCAAAATCATCAGTGTCTCCACTCTCCATGAAGGTAACTTTTTCAACTGCATAGGTTTTAAACACTGACAGTAATTTCTCTCTCTCTCTCTCTCTCTTTATTAATATTTGCCAGAGACACTTTCGAGTTCAGCAAAAAAAATCGAAGGTAATCACATCCGAAATTGTACAATCGTGGCGCGGCTATTGTCATTTTTGCAAAAGGCTGGTTTGGGCAAACGTTACGGTTGTAATGTTCAATTCAGGAGGCGGGATTCAGACCTGTACTCGTCATGCATATATTTGCACACATCAGGTGGGATGCCTCCTGATGTATGAACGATTCACCGCTAGCTACCTGTCCCCATATTTGAAATCCAAATGACAATGGGGACAGGGAATCAGACTAGATTCGTTGCCGCATGTTATCATACGGTGCGCTTTGCGTACAACTGGGACTGTGTGCGGTTGTCAGCTCCGGTGGTACGGTGCACTGCGCTGCGCTGCGCAGCGGTGCAGGCGGACTAAACCCGGCCAGATTGCCGACTTGATTTCAAGTCTACCTACCAGCACACTCTCCAGACGTATACTCTTCCACCTCCACCTCGGCAAGTTGCAGATATGCCCGTGTTGCATCTACACTGGGCATGGAAGTATTGATGTCTAAGCTGACATACCTAGCAAGCCGCGGTGGCTCACACAGGAACGGTATCCTGGCTCCCTCCCTAGACTGTTGGCTGGTAGCTGGTGAGCCGCACGGCAGGTTCTCGGCGAACTTGGGGCTCAGTCCAGCTCGGGCTATCGCCCCGATGAAACGAAAACCTAGGGGAAAAAAACAGTTCAACTTTATAATGTACAGACATGGTTATCAGAATGTCTGATATTTATATATGATGTTTATAAATATCTCTGGATGATTCTAAAAATCTCCTTATTAAGTTTGTATGCATTACAGATTATTTTGAATGCATATACATTTTGAAATTAGTAAAAGTTTGCCGTATCAAAGTGATTGGTCTTTCAGCAATTTTACCCCATCCATCCATTCGGAGAGAGAAGAAAAGACAGTTCTCGTAAATTACAGTTTCGCCAAAAGAAAAAAAATATCTTTATAAAAAGAAAACCTAAATGAATAATGATTCGTGGGGTGAAGTATAAGAACATTTACCACCGAGATCCGTTCGGAGAATGACGTTGATTCTACCCAAGCAGTGTTTGGTACCTAGGTCAAGCAGCCACCAAGGATGGGGATCATAATCATCTGGAATGAAGGAAAGGAAGACAATGTTTTTAATTCAAATGTACTTGGTGTATTTTAACAACTGCGAACAAAGTGGTGACGTTGACGCTGAGGGTGGTGACAGCTAACGATGGTGAAAATGATAAAGATCGTGCCAGTTGGGATGTGAGGGGCCATATGGGTACGGAGAGGCAAGGAGGGAATAGGAAGTGGAGGTGGTGATGGACATGAGGGTGCATGGGGATGGGACCTGGGATAGCAGGGAGAGAAAAGGACATTGGTGGTAACGATCAGTGGGTGATGGGGATCAGTATGGGGATGGGGACGGGGCCAGTATTGGGATAGGGACGGGGGTCAGATTGGGATGGGTACGGGGAGGCAAGGGGAGGTATTGGGAAGGGGACGTGGGGATGGACATGATGGTGCACGTGGGGATGGGACCTGGGATAGCATGGAGAAAAAAGGGCATTGGGGTAACGATCAGTGGGGGTAACGATCAGTGGGTGATTGGGATCAGTATGGGGATGGGGACGGGACCAGTATTGGGATAGGGACGGGGTAAGTATGGCGATAGAAACGGGTTCAGTGTAAGGATACGGACGGGGATAAGTTTTGGGATAGGGACGGGGATCAGTATGGGGATTGGGAAGAGGATCAGTCTGGGATGGGTATTAAGTATGGGCATTTGGAAGAGGAGAAGGTTTGCTTGATCAGGTGAGGGAATGATCAGTGAGAGAATGGGGACGGAGATCAGGATGGGTATGAGAACGGGGATCACATTGCGATCAGGACGGGGTTCAATATTGTGGTAGGGACGTAGATAAGTATGGCGATGGGTATTGGGATGGGGACAGGGAAAACTATAGGGATTATAACGGGAATTCGTATGCTGATTGGAACGGAACAGCATGGGAAGGAGGATATTAAATTATAGAGATGGGCACGGAGATCAGTGTTAGGATGGGGATGGGGATCTGTGTAATGATAGGGGTGGGGATTAGTATAAGGATGGAGACCGGATTGGTATGGAGACATGGATCGGTATGGAGACATTGATCAGTATGGGGACGGGAATGGGGAATGTGGATCAGAATTGGGATGCGAACCTAAATAAGTATGGCAACGGGAACGGGCATGAATATGGGAATGGAATGGGATCAGCATGATAGTGGCATATTTCAGTACGGGGAAGGGATCAGTATGGGATCATTATGGTGATAGGGCGGGAATCAGAATGTGGCCGGGGGTCTGCATGGGATTGGGGTGGAGATCTTCAAGTGGCCGGGGATCAGTATGGGCGTTCTGAATGCATTATATTATATCAAGGTCTTCCGCTTTTACTTTCTGTAAATTGGCCTCCATACATTTGTTTAATTAACTTACCAGTTATTATTCTTTGTCCATTTTCTCTGCAATGTAAATAAATGTCTATTGAATTGAATTGAATTAATGGGGTTTTGGTGGCTGGACGTTGGCACTGGGCGGGAATGAGGACTGGGGAGATTGATGAGGGTGCAAATGGTGGAGGGAGGAGAAAGTTGGTACATAGTCATTGATTTCGAGAATGACGCAGGTGACGAGGGAGACGAATTCGACGATGACATGAAGTTACAGCAAACACGGAGGTATATTTCTCATTGTCTTACCAGTGTGCGTGTAGGTATATGTCCATCCATCGATAGCCTTATAAGCAGGGTGAGCGTCCCATGTTGAGCTCTGTGATGTACTTTTTCCATAAACATGGAGGGCTGAAATGAATCAGGATTTTGATAAGAATTTTAACTACAATTTGAATTTGAAACTAGAAACGATTGTGTTTGAGGACAAGCGCCAGCTGTCTATCTTGAAACGACTCAGTGACGTGACGAACACACCATGAAGTCACTTCAAATTTCATCTATATTATTATCTCGGTATAAAGTTACAACCAAATCGAACATTATAGTTCTGTAGATATATGCCATTAATAGAAAACACCATACTAAAGTTACTTTAATTTCCATCTATGATACATCCCGGTATGGGCACATATCAAGTTAGATGCAAAACGGGTCTATGGTTCTTGAGATATAGGCCTTAGAAAATTGTCCATTTGATATGACACTACATGACATGTGATGTCGTCATGGGGACGTCACTTCGATTTTCATCTGTACCACACCCCTGTCTGTGTGCATACCAAGTTTCAACCCAATCGGAATGGTACTTCAGAAGCTCGAAACAAAATGCCCTTCTAATAATGAAGTCATGTGACACAAGATTTTGTCATCGTAACGAAAATCATCAGGGACCATCTCTGGTTGGTTGTCTAGGTGTTTGGTAAGTCTCAAGTCAATCAGACATATGTAAGTGCCAAAGTGTATGGCTTGAAGAAGAACGTGTACAAAATCTGTCGAGAAAAATACATCTTTAATGTGAGGTTACACTGCGCATTGTAAACTACATGGATGGGCCTGATGCACGAGTTGGCCATTCCCTAAATGCATTTCATTAAGTGTTAGCTGTTGAATTGGATGGTGCCGGACTCTTTATGCAAACGTAATGCTGCCTTATTTACTGTCATTTTTTTAGTCTGGATTTTAAAATGTGTATATTACAAATTTTAAATTATTCATTAAAGCAGACTGAAATTAATTATTAATTACCTGCTTTCATTTCTCTTCACAAGTTCCAAAAATTAAGATGTAACCTCAATTTCAATTCAACAGGGCCGACTATAAGGCCCAATAGGCCTTTTCTACATCGTGTCAATGCCGGTGTGGACGGACTTTCTGTCCCTGGACAACTTTGCCTGGTTTGTCCACGAAATTGCGTCTCCTGACACAGTTTTTCCTAGGTTATACTGTCAATCTAATAAAACACATGTCTTTCAATGAACAGATTAGCACTTTGCCTATATCGCCTTGGCCGAGGAGATCACAATTACACAAAGCAAACTTTGCAGGTAACTTGTAAGGTCCTGTTTTTATTGGAGCGTGACCTTGGAAATACCAAACGACTGTTGTCACCTACCAGCACCCTCTCCAGACGTGACGTTTTCCACCGTCACCTCGGCAAGTTGCAGATATGCCCGTGTCGCAACTACACCGGGCATGGAAGTATCGATGTCCAAGCTGACGTACCTAGCCGTCCGCGGTGGCTCGCACAGGAATGAGATCACGGCTCCATTCTTACACTGTTCGCTGGTAGCCGGTGAGCCGCACGGCAGGTTCTCGGTGAAGTTGGGGCTCAGTCCAGCTCGCGCTATCGCCCCGATGAAACGAACACCTAGAGAAGAAAAGACAGTCCTCGTAGATAACAGTTTCGCCAAAAAAAATATATCTTTATGAAAAGAAAAAATAAATGAATAATAATTCGTGGGGTGAAGTGTAAAGAACATTTACCCCCGAGATCCTTTCGGAGAGTGACGTTGATTCTACTCAAGTTGTGATTACTACCTAGGTCAAGCAGCCACCAAGGATGCGGATCATAATCATCTGGAAGGAAGGAAAGGAAGAATATTGAAGGGTCCATGAAGTGAATATTTCTTAGGAACTTGTTTTGTGCTCCTTTCTAATCCTCTAAATCCCGGTTCATATACTTCATGCGAATGCAAATGCGAAGCGAATTTGACGTCATGAAACATTAGCTGCGAAATTTGCCCGAGTTGAAATATGTTTTACAAATTTGCAGCTTTGAGAACTTGCCATGACGGCACAATTTGCGTTCGCTTTTGCGCCGAGTATGAACCGCGCTTTATGAGTCTGAAAACTACTTGACGTTCCTTTTTGGTTACTTTTACTAAACAGAGCAGCTCTCTCAACGTCTTAAATTGTCCATGCTTTTCAGCAATGGGTGAATTTGCCGTGGTGTTCTTTCAGTAAGACACTATCCATATTATGTGTTTTTTCTGCTGAAATTATGAACCCAATCATTTGTTCATTGAAGACATTTGAGAGAAAAGTTTGCTCACTGGCTTACTGCCATGAACTGACACATCAATGAATCACTAAAGAAAAGATTGTTTACGACAGCGATACATCCACAATTCTGGCAACTTTTTGTGTGCACAAACCAATTGCAGTAATCAGGTTTCTGCCTGATATGACATCACATTTTTCTAATAGATGAAAATTCGTATGAGTATCAACCAAAAAGAGACCAAAATATCCTTGTATTAAAGATGAATGTTGTTGATGGGAGGGAAGGGGCACAGGAGTGAGAGCATTAAGTATGGGGTTGGAGATAGGGATGGGGATGGGGGTGAAAATGGGGATGGCGATGGGGATAGGTATAGGGATGTGGATGGGGATGGGGATGGGGATGGGGGTGGGGATGGGGATAGGGATTGGGATTGGGATGGGTATGGGGATGGGGATAGGGATGGGGATGGGGATAGGGATGGGGATGGAGATGGGGATGGGGATGGGGATGGGGATGGGGTGGGCATGGGCATGGGCATGGGCATGGGCATGGGCATGGGCATGGGCATTGGCATGGGCATGGGGATGGGGATGGGGATAGAGATGGGGATGGGGATAGGGATGGGGATGGAGATGGGGATAGGGATGGGCATGGGGATGGGCATGGGGATGGAGGTGGGGATAGGGATGGGAATGGGGGTAGGGATGGGGGTAGGGATGGAAATGGGGATGGGGATGGGATGGGGTGGGGATGGGGATGGGGATGGAGATGGGCATGGGCATGGGCATGGGCATGGGGATGGGCATGGGCATGGGCATGGGCATGGGCATGGGCATGGGCATGGGCATGGAGGTGGGGATAGGGATGGGGATGGGGATAGGGATGGGGGTAGGGATGGAAATGGGGATGGGATTTGGATAGGGATGGGGATGGGGATTGGGATAGGGATGGGGATAGGGAGGGGATGGGGTAGGGATGGGGATGGGGATAGGATGGGGATGGGGATGGGGATGGGGATGGGAATGGGGATGGGGATGGGGATGGGGATGGGGATGGGGATGGGGATGGGGATGGGGATGGGGATAGGGATGGGCATTGGGATGGGGATAGGGAGGGGGATAGGGAGGGGGATGGGGATGGGGATGGGAATAGGGATGGGCATGGGGATGGGCATGGGGATGCGGTTGGGGATAGGGATGGGGATAGGGATAGGGATGGGATGGGGATAGGGAGGGGCATGGGGATGGGCATGGGGATGGGGATGGGGATAGGGATGGGGATGGGGATAGGGATGGGGGTAGGGATGGAAATAGGGATGGGCATGGGGATGGGGATGGGGATGGGGAAGGGGATGGGGATGGGGATGGGGATGGGGATGGGGATGGGGATGGGGATGTGGATAGGGATGGGGATGGGGATGGAGATGGGATTGGGATAGGGATTGGTATAGGGATTGGGATGGGGGTAGGGATGGGGATGGAGATGGGTATGGGGATGGGGATGGGGATGGGGGTGGGGATGGGCATGGGCATGGGCATTGGCATTGGCATGGGCATGGGGATGGGGATGGGGATAGAGATGGGGATGGGGATAGGGATGGGGATGGAGATGGGGATAGGGATGGGCATGGGGATGGGCATGGGGATGGGCATGGGCATGGGCATGGGCATGGGCATGGGCATGGGCATGGAGGTGGGGATAGGTATGGGGATGGGGGTAGGGATGGAAATGGGGATGGTATTTGGATAGGGATGGGGATGGGGATGGGGATAGGGATGGGGATAGGGAGGGGATGGGGTAGGGGTGGGGATGGGGATGGGGATGGGGATGGGGATGGGGATGGGGATGGGGATGGGGATGGGGATGGGGATGGGGATGGGGATGGGGATGGGGATGGGGATGGGGATGGGGATAGGGATGGGCATGGGGATGGGGATGGGGATAGGGAGGGGGATGGGGATAGGGATGGGGATGGGGATGAGGATGGGGATAGGGATGGGCATGGGGATGGGCATGGGGATGGGGTAGGGGATAGGGATGGGGATAGGGATAGGGATGGGTATGGGGATAGGGAGGGGCATGGGGATTGGCATAGGGATGGGGATGGGGATAGGGATGGGGATGGGGATAGGGATGGGGGTAGGGATGGAAATGGGGATGGGATTGGGATAGGGATGGGGATGGGGATAGGGATGGGGATAGGGAGGGGGATGGGGTAGGGATGGAAATGGGGATGGGGATGGGGATGGGGATGTGGATCGGGATGGAAATGGGGATAGGGATGGGGATGGGGATGGGGATGGGGATGGGGATGGGGATGGGGATGGGGATGGGGATGGGGATGGGGATGGGGATGGGGATGGGGATGGGGATGGGGATGGGGATGGGGATGTGGATGGGGATGGGATGGGGATGGGGATGGATGATGGGATTGGGATGGAGATGGGATTGGGACAGGGATTGGTATAGGGATTGGGATGGGGGTAGGGATGGAAATAAGGATGTGGATTGGGATTCCTTGCCCCCCCCCCCTTCGATACGCCCATAGAAGTAGCAGGAAGTGTTGATACTGTGTCATTGATTTCGAGAATGCCAAAGGTGACTAGAGAAACGAAGTAGATGATGACATGGGGTCACAGCAAATGCAGAAGTATTTCTCAATGTTCTTACCTGTGTGCGAGAAGGTATACGTCTGTCCATCGATGGCCTGATAAGATGCATGAGGCGACCATTCGGTGCTCTGTGACGTATGTTTCCCATGAATAGGGAGGGCTGAAAATAAATCAGGTATTTGATAACAACTTACAATGGACAATAGCCAAGGTATTTTCTCCTTTCCTTTTACGGAGGTCTTTCTGGAAATAGAATTTAAAAACCCATAAAATTCGAAAGTAGTGACTTCCCCCCCCCCAAAAAAAAACTCAAAGCACATGCCTTCTACCTCCCTCTGACGCGACCCCCCCCCCCCCACGACATCTGAATGTGGTGCAATCTATGACGTTTTGGACTTAACTTCTTTTAAAAACATGAGTTGCTACTCTTTCAAGGGGTAAAAAGTTGCAACATAGACTGACAAATTCAACTGAAAGCTCAAAAACTAAATGCAAACTCGAAAAATCGACTCGAAACGTAAACTCGAATTTCGACATTACGTGGCCAACAAAACAGTGCACATGCATATGAAGAGGTTTTGCATGGGGTAGGTGGGTGAATGTGCATGTATGTGAGTTGTGAAGCCCGTCTAACCAGGAAAATCCGCTGATTTTTGACGGGCTCTCAACCAATCAGAAGGCCGGATTTGGCCCCACGTGACCCTCATTAGCATAAAATGAACAACGGGAATCCACCATTCACCTCATGAGTAAAATGAGTAACTGCTCATTTACTAATTTTTACTCATTTTTACTCATGAGTAAAATTAGTAACTGCTCATTTACTCATGAGTAAAATTAGTAACTGCTCATTTACTCATTCAACCCTTTTACTCAGTGAGTGAGATCATTCCCTCTCTTATATTAACAATTTTTCTCATGAGTAAATGAGCAAAAAAATGAGTAAATGAGCAACAAGATGACTGAATAATCGAGGAGCTCAGTGCATCACCTGTGGTCAAAGGTGCAGCTGCAATTGGCTCTCCAGACGCATTAGCTTTCTGGTGTACTGCTAAGGTTGTGCCATGAGTGGCCCCTTTGAATGTGGTAATAATGCATTATTATCGGTGCCACTGGATTTGCCACCCCCAATAAGGTGGGTTTAGTCGTTAAAATAAAGATCACAGGTTGTCTAGAAGCCGAGATATCGTAAAATACAGGCCCTGGGCGGCCATTTTGAGACAAATCCTAGATGACCGCCATATGATTACTTAAACTAATTCCAGTTGATACTATTGGATTCCTTGCCCCGAAAAATGGGGATTTAGTCGTTAAAATAAAGATCACAGATTGTGTAGAAGCCGAGATATTGTAAAATACCGGTTTTTGGCGGCCATTTTAAACAAATTCAAGATGGCCGCCATATGGTTACTTAAACTAATTCCAATAGATACTAGTGGATTCCTTGCCCCCCCCCCCCCCCCCAAAAAAATGTATAGTTTTGCATATCCCCACAAAATCGAGAAAGTCTACTTTAGGATTAGTTGGATTGGCCCTGTCGCTTTTCTCTGTAATATAGCCTAAAAATGTTGCATTATGATTTCAGTTGCCGTCCCCTGCATAACATAATGTTAAGTCAGTCAACTTCATTGACTTCTTTCATGTACAGATATATGAAGCCCCCCCCCCCCCACATGCCGTGCGTTGCCAAATACAGTCCTTTGTCTGAAGGATTATCGGCCCCTCTACAAAATACAATGATCGCTGACAGACCGCTAATGGTCACTAATCCCTTACGGACCACCCGCGGAGCGCACGTGTGCCCTGCCAATTACAGTCCCATTGTCCGAAGGATTATCTCACGCAAACAGGTGGCTGTGTTCGCTACCGTTGCGCAACTTGTGGCAAGCGATATTTAGAACGCGCAAAAAATCTATCCCGAACTGTACGTGCAGGTAGGTTAAGTGGGTGACAGATATAATCGATATAATGAACACTGTACATCTTGATCAAATTACG